GTCGAGGCTGCGGTGGCCGGGAGTGGCCACTGCACTCCAGTCTGGGCGACAGAGTGAGACTCCAACTCAAAAAAAAAACAAAAAACAAACAAAATAATAAATAAAATGGGGTGATGACTGCAGTGCCCGAGGGGGCTTCGAGAAGACGAAGTGGGGACATGCTCGTGAGGGGCTGGCACAGGGCATCACTCCGAGGGACCCTGTCATCCAGTCGGGGGGCAAGGCCGGCTCAGCACACTCCCCTTCTGGTGCTGCTTGGCTGCCGGCCTGTGCCTCCTCACCTGCCCCCCGAAAAGCGGCACCTCTTGTGCCTTGGGAAGCTCGTGGCAGATGCCCAAAGCGAGGTCTCCAAACCAGGTTCGACAACCAGCAACATCTCCAGGTTTGCAGACGGGGTCACGTGACCATCGAGAGGCAGAACCGGGGCCTGTGTCCTTGGTCTCAGGACTCGAGTTGGGGTCTCTTGGGGCCTCTCAGAGAGTACATGCCACTGCTGTATGATTCAGGTCAAAAAGCAGAGTTTCCTTTTACTGTAGCATGAACCTCTTCTGCTTGTTTGTTTGGGGTTTTTTTTGGCTTTTTTTTTTTTTTTTTTTTTTTTTTTGCATTAGAGTCTCGCTCTGTCTCCCCCCAGGCTGGAGTGCAGTGGCATGCTCCCAGTCCCCGCAGCCGCCCCCATGCCCAGCTAATTTTTTTTTTTTAGTGTACTGTAGAGATGAGGTCTCGCCAGGTTGTCTCAAACTTCTGGGTTCAAGCAATCCTCTCACCTCAGTCTCCCAGAGTGCTGGGATTACAGGCGTGGGTCACTGCACCTGGGTATTTTGGGGGGGTTTTTTGGTTTTTTTTGTTTTTGTTTTTGAGTTAGAATCTCACTCTGTTGCCCAGGCTGGAGTGCAGTGGAACGATCACGGCTCACCGCAGCCCTGACCTTTTGAGCTCAGACGATCCTTCTGCCTCAGCATCCTGAGTTGCTGGAACTATAGGTACCACCACATCCAGCTTTTTTTTTTTTTTTTTTTTGGTAGAAATTAGGTCTCACTATGTTGCCCAGGCTGGTCTCGAACTTCTGGGCTCAAGCAATTCTCCCGCTTCAGCCTCCCAAAGTGCTGGTATTACAAGCATGAGCCACCATGCCCAGCTATTTTCATTTTTTGCTACAAATAATATCTAATTGTAAAAATTCTGAATCCACGTAAGTATAGCAAGAAGAAAATGAAGGTCTCCTTTGCCTCCCCCCATAGCTCATGCTGCCTCCCCAGAGGGCCCTGGAGAACAACTCCAGGTGCTCGTGTCCATGCCCTTCCCTGTGAACTTGTAACCATTGTGTGAGTGTGTGTACAAGCATGTGCACGTGCATGAGAATGTGAGCGATATAATTTTCAAAAACATGGGCTCTGGGCCAGACCACCTGAGTTCCAACCCAGTTTCACTCCTGTGGAGCCTTGAGCAAGTCGCTCAACACCCCTGTGCCTCCGTTTTCTCATCCGTATAATGGGGCTCATCATAGTGTTTGAAGATTGCATGAACTCATGCCTGTAAAGCACCTCGAACACTCCCTGGAGTACAGTAGAGGGGCTCACTGCACATGAGTGTTTTCACCACTGCTGTTTACACACACAGATTTTCTTTCTTTCTTCTCTCTCTCTCTCTCTCTCTCTCTCTCTCTCTCTCTCTCGTTGGAGTCTCACTCCGTTGCCCAGGCTGGAGTGCAGTGGCATGCTCACAGCCACCCCAGCATCGACCTGCTGGGCTCTGGCGATCCTTCTACCTCAGCCTTCCAAGGAGCCAGAACTACGGGCGCATGCTACCACACCTGGCTAGTTTTTTATTTATTGTAGAGATGAGGTCTCACCAAGTTGCCCGGGCTGGTCTCGAACCCGCGGGCTCAGGCAATCCACTCTCCTTGGCCTCCCAAAGTGCTGGGATTACAGGCTGAGCCACCGAACCTGGCCCCTTTTTTGTTTGTTTTTTGAGTCAGAGTCTGTCGCCCAGGCTGCAGTGCAGTGGCATGCTCCCGGCTACCACAGCCTTGACCTGCTGGGCTCAGCCTTCCAAATAGCTGGGACTACAGGCATGTGCTGCCACACCCGGCTTATTTATTTATTTATTGTAGAGATGAGGTCGCGCCAAGTTGCCCAGGCTGGTCCCAAACCCCTGAGCTCAGGCAATCCTCTCACCTCGGCCTCCCAAAGTGCTGGGATTACAGACTTGAGTCACTATGCCGGGCCAACATAGACTTTCTTAACGGAAACAGGATCACTGTCATTGTCTTCTGCCTTGCTGTAGCAGGATGGTGTGATGATCCTTCCTGCTGGCAGTTCACACCCATCTCTTTTTAACAGCCGCATCATGTTTCATAGCACAGCAGCCCGGTCCTTGGACCGCCTCGTTATAGGCATATAAGCTAGTTCCAATGCTTCGCTACCACAAATACTCCTGCACGAACATCCTTGTGTACAAGGTCTGACCATTAAATGCATGAACTCATCCTAGAAAAAGTGCTAGCTCATTGCTGAATATCACCACAGTCACCTTAAAGTCCTCCCCGCTGGAAGCTATGCACCGATGCCAGCGCCTAGTCCACCCGTCAAAGCAGTTTTGGAACTCGTTTTCTGGAACAGCCATCAGAGCTGCTGTCATATTATCCATGATGTCCTGAATGTCATCAAATGTGTTCCTTTCAATATTTCCTTTATCTCTGGGTAAAGAAAAAAGCCATTGGGGGCCAGATCGGATGAGTAGGGAGGGTGTTCCAATAGTTATTTGCTGGCTAAAAACTCCCTCAGTGATCAAGCACAGAAACAAAGAACTGAGCACCACATGCTCTCACTCACAAACGGACCCTGAACATTTACCACAACACTATAAGAAAGGGATTGGCAGTAACAGGACACTGCCAGGGGAGGGGGGTGCACATAACATCAATGAGTGTACCTCATCTCAAACCAAGCCAAGTGGGGACCAAAGGGAGGCCCAAGCTTTACCTGTAAGATGACCCCTTGTACACCTAATCCTGAATTGTACCCCACATCTTTAAAATAAAGAATGAAAATATATAACAACAGCAAATAACAAAACTCCCTCACAGACAGTGCTGTGTGAACTTGTGTATTGTCGTGATGCAAAAGTTCCTTCGGGACCATTTTTGCACACACCTTTCTCGTGCCAAGATTTTCAGTTAAGGTTTTCCTGTTTTTCTATCAATGTTTATTTGGCCTGCTGTGCTTCTCACCGTCAGCTAACAATTCTGACACACAGCTCAGCAAGTTTTTGCAATGTTTTCTTCAGTTCTGCTTGGGATTGGCTGTCCTGACCTCTCTTCATCAGCGACACTTTCTCTCTCCTCAGAAAAACATTTAATCCGATTTTACACGGTCATTTTCTTCATGGCATGTTCCCCATGAACTTGGACTAGCATGTCCCTGATTTCACTTCCACTCGTGCCAAGTTTAACAAGAAATTAAATGTTGGTTCCTTGCTCTCATTCAAGCTCCGACATGCTCATGATGGCACAGAAACACATGCAACAACAATAATGAACACCACTCAGCAAGTTGCTGCCACATGTCGACACAAACACAGCTGTGAGACACCCATATACCAAGCTTATGAAACCTTACCAAGGTGTGTGTACAGTGCTACCAACATAAACGCACGGTGGCAAATTCAAGAACTTAATTGTTGACTGGGCATGGTGGCTCATGCCTATAATCTCAGCACTTTGGGAGGCCGAGGTGAGAGGATTGCCTAAGCCCACGGGTTTGAGACCTGCCCGGGCAACTTGGCAAGACCTCAGCTCTACAATAAATAAAAAATTAGCCAGGCGTGGTGGCATGTGCCTGTAGTTCGAGCTACTTGGAAGGCTGAAGCAGAAGGATCATCTGAGCCCAGCAGTTCAAGGCTGTGGTGGCCATGAGCATGCCACTGCACTCCAGCCTGGGCAACAAAGTGAGACTCCAATTCAAAAAAAGGAAAAGAAGCCAGGCTCGGTGGCTCAGCCTGTAATCCCGGCGCTTTGGGAGGCTGAGGTGAGTGGATTGCCTGAGTCCGCGGGTTCGAGACCCACCTGGGCAACTTGGCGAGACCTAATCTCTACAATAAATTTTTAAAAATTAGCCGGGCGTGGTAGCACGCGCCTGTAGTTCCAGCTACTCGGAAGGCTGAGGCGGAAGGATCGCCAGAGCCCAGCGGGTCAAGGTTGCAGTGGCCAGGAGGGGCCACTTCCCTCCAGTCTGGGCGACAGAGTGAGACTCCAACTCAGAAAAAAAAAGAAAAAGAAAAGAAAAAGAACGTAATTGTCAGACCTTGTAAATAGTGTGTACCCGTGTTTCTTTAAAACAGGCTTGTGGCATGGCCCCAGCCCCTGCCAGGTCAAAGGGTGTGGGCGTCCCAAAAGTTAAACCTGCCTGGCCCTTGCCAGTTCTGGAACCAGCGCTTCGCTGCACCTCCGGCGGACCCCGACCTTCCCCACGTCCGGCCTTCTGCAGCTTGAGAGATGGGGACACGGGTCCTGCGGGGGTTGGATCCCATCCTGACATCTCACCGGCCTCACCTGTATCCCATTGCCTTTCAAACCAGTCTCTTGAAAATGCTGAAGCCATAGCCATCCGGAAAGGCGTCTCAGAGGGAGGAGTCCTGGCAAGTCAGCTGGTGGCTGGAGGAGACCAAGCGTGGACAAACCGCGATGGACAAACGCCTACCCAGAGCCGTTCATGAGCAAATAAAGTCTGGCTTAGTTCTGGGCATCCCGGGCTGCTGCGGATATGCCCTTCGCCAGGAACCTTCTGGGTTTCATGACCACTGGGGACACGCTGTTACAGCTTCACTGGCAGAGGCACACACTGCGAATGGGACGGGGCGGTTGGGTGGCCGGAACATCGCACTGAAGACAGTCAGGCCCAGCAGTCACTCCCGGGTCTATAGACCATATCCAGGGGAGATATTCTAGGCTGGGAGCCTGGCAGTGGGAACAGACACTGAGGGAACAAAGGCAGAGGTCCCCGAGAGGGAACCCAGGACAGGGACAGACAGACCCGGCATCGGGTCCAGGCCCTGTGAACTCCGAGCCCGAGCAGCTCTGCCCAACAAATGGTGCAGCTGAAATAAAAGCTTTCCAAGTCATTCTGGGAGTTGACCAATCTGCGTTTCATGTTCAAATTCTTTGGGAAACTGGGGAGAAGGAAGAGCTTAGCCAAAGAAGAAAAGGAACAGCTGAGAAAGCACGTCTGACCAGATGTGTGGGACGGGCACCTTCGAGCGTTCGAGTGACCCCACCAGCCACCCGCGTGGACACGCAAGGACAGGCCCTGTCTCCTGCACCTGGGTGGCCCCACACAGTGCCTGGCGCATAGTAGGGGCTCAGCAGACACCCGTGGGGTGAACGACACACTCACCCGGAGATCGT